CAAATGAACGGGTAATGGAGAAATTTCAGGAGAAATGTCACTAAGGAGCCATGTGAACTGGGTTTTGAAGGATGAGTAAGATTTTACCTAAAAAGCGGGGGGTTATAGGCATTTTGGAAATATGAAAAAAAGTGGGTTCAAAGTACAATGGTACAAAGTTCCTGCTTATTCTGGACACGAGACAGTGAGAGGTTCAATGGGGCGAGAGAAGGGATGGGTGAAGCTGACTTCAGACACACTGAAATCGTGTGCGCGTATCAAAGAACGAGGATTTCTGTCCTTTAAGTGGTTATCAGAGAAGCCTCTTGGGGAGCGTAGTCTGCATGTATCGTTCAGGCCCCCGCTCTTACAGATACGCCCAGGGTGAAAAGCACCGTCAGGCAGGCGCTCTGCTGTGGGTCCCCCAGGCACCTGAGACCCACTGAAGCTTGGGAGTCCCTCGCCTGGACTTCTGGAAACAGTCCTTGGGCTTGAGGCTCATCTGCCTCTTCAGGGCCACTGTGCCAGAAAGACTCCTGTGTGTGGGGTAGGGTATCTCAGACACAGAACGGAAGGGGTCTTGGATTAGAGTGAAGAAAAAGAAAAACAAATCTCTAGTCTCTCTGAGGCTAGGACTCAGTCTGGCCTGGGTGCTAAGGCATGGCGGCTCCAAACACCTTTCCGAGGTGGGCAGAACAAAGGCAGCCAAAAGCAAGGCAGGCAGAGGGTCTGAGGAAGGACCTGGACCTCTGCGGGTGTCACAATCACCCGAATTTTACTATCTCATGCCCATTATCCGCAAAACCCCAGAAACGTCTCATTAAAAGTAAGTCTGGTCTCCGCTGTTCTGTGGGAAACCATGTGCTGTGGTCTGATGTGTCCCCCAAAGTTCACTGTTAGAAACTTAATCCCCAGCCCAACGGTGTTGAAAGGCGGGAGCTTTAAGGGGTGATGAGGTCATGAAGGCCCCTGGAGGATGTGTTAACCGCCTTATCCCAGGAGCGGTTCCTGACAAAAGGGCGAGTCCAGCCCTCTCTTGCTCCCTCACACGCTCTTGCCCCTCCACCTCCTGCCATGGATGTGCAGCAAGAAGGCCTTCACCAGGCGCCGGCCCCTCAACTTTGGATTTCCCAGCCTGCAGAACTGTAAGAAATACATCTCTGTTCTTTATAAATGACCCAGTCTTTGGTACTCCGTTAGAGCAACACAAAACGGACTAAGGGGTGGGGACCTGTGGTCCTGGGGCCACATATGGCCGTCCAGATCCCCCAGTGCGGCCCCTCAAGTGAATTTCTGTAAAATTTGGATTCAGGCACAAGGCCACACTCAAGGATCCAGAAGGCCACATGTGGCCCCAAGGCTGCAGGTTCCCCACCCTCATCGGGAGAGCAGTGCCCAGTCCCCACATGGGCCAGAAAGGTGGGGCAGCAGCTGCCAGGTGAGCAGGGAGCTGAATCCAGCCTCGCAGATGTCACCAACAAAAAGGCGCGACGTGGTGGCAGGAGAGAAAGTCAGAGCCTTAGAACCCTGAGCACCGCTGAGGCAGTTTCCTGGGAAAGGCTCCAACACCTGGCAGGGTCCACTGTGTGAAAAGAAGGGGTAAACAGCAATTTCCAGAAGCAACTTCTAGAAGTGAGAGGCTCGTGCTGCCAGAACCTGGGATTTACCATGAGAGATGGGTAGATCTGGAAAGTTAGACCTGAAAGATAAATAGTCCGTCAGTACTTCCCTTCAAAGCACCTGCCGCAGTTTCACTTCTCGCTTCTTTGCGTGATCTTCGTCGCCTTCCCCCCGTAGACTGTACATCTCCTGAAGGCAGGGACGCTACATGTTTTTGCTCATCACTGTTTCCCTAGCTCCCAGCTGGCACACGGCAAGTACTTGACAAAATAAGTTGGATAAACAAACAGTTTAAAATTAAAACATCCTGGAGTGTTTGATTATTCTCACCTTCTCCATATTGCTGAAATTTTGTTTTGTTTTTTATAAAAAAAAGTATATCATCAAGGAAAGGAAGATAAATCTTTTCTGGAAAGAAAGTCATCTCATAATAGCAGTTTTGCGACTTCAGTCTCTGAGTTGTAAGCATTCACTTAGAAAGACAAATTGATGTAGGTAAAAGATAGGATGTGTATCACTGGAAATACACCCACAATGAGCCTCAGTGATGTCCTGCACGGTGCCCCTCAGACCCTGGAACATCACAAAGTGACTTGCAAATCAAAGGTTAATTCTGTGCCGAGGAGTTGTAGTAGGCAGTGCTCCATATAGCATGACGATTCTTTGAAAACTGGCCATCCACATATGACAAAATAGCACACGCTACCCTTGGCAAACACCAGGCACCTGTGACACAGTCATTACACCAGGCACTGTGGCTTCACAAGGACCCACGAGACCCGCCCCCGACGCTGCAAGAGAACAGCAGCACCAGCCACCCCAAGATCTGAGAGTGTGGCTGCAGAACAGAGAGGGGAGGCTATTTCAGAGAAGACTGCAGAAACAGGGACAATAAATCGAGAAGTTTACCAAATAATCCCCAGCCCCTTAGCCTAAGAAACTTCTCCTGACCCAGAGAGATGGGAAGTTATTTAATTAAATTTTCATAAATGAGCATTTGGCACCTTTTACCTCAAGCAGCAGTGGGGCCTAAGTTCGTTTCAAAGCAGTTGTGCTATGCAGGGTCAGCAGTCCAGCTGGTGCCAGACTCGCAGGGCTGTGTGGCCGTGGTGCTTAACGTACTCTGTGCGCCGGTAGGGATTAATCCTGAAGCAGGAATGACAGAGAGAGATAGCTCTCGCCCCGATCCGCAGCAGGGCTTCCTCATCCACGGGAGCTCTGTCTGAGCATCCCTGCAGCCTGGCCACCACAAGGAGCCTGCGCTTTGGTTTCCATGTTGACTTACTATGAAACTCCAGATAAAAAGAATGGGACGTCCCTCTTCTCACCCTGCCCTCCCCACCTTCCCCTCGAACTGGAGGCCAGATCTCTGGGGAACAACAAGATGCTTCTCTGAGAACAGTCCAGAGGCCAGTACCAAGAGACGATTCCCACCTCTCTCCCCAGAACAGCTCTGAGAGGGAGCCTGGGCAGTCTCCGTCTCGCCCGTGCAGAGAGTGGGTAATTGCCGGGTGACTAGCGCGAGCCCCTTGCCCTCCTCACCTCCCACTAAAATGCGTGGCACAGCACAGTCATGAAATGTGCTTATTAATTTTACTCATTTGACACTGTGCTCTTCTGCCCTGAGCTAGATGTTAGGAGAAAATGATAGGGATAGATTCTGCTCCTGTCAGACTTACCGAGACTTCCAGAAAACCAAACTATCAAAGGCCATCTGCTACCCACTAGCCAAGCACACAGCATGACCCCAAAGGTACAAATGGAATGTTAAAGATACAGATCAACAAAAGAGGATGGCAGGAAGCTGGGGAGACCCCTACCCAGGGCCTGAGCTCCCCGAGTGCCCCCCCAGGAGAGCAACCCTGAGCCCGTCCTCGCAGAGCAGAGCGCCCAACCCTGGCCGTGATTCACGACTCGCTGCTTCGTACCTAATTCATCAAAGGACACTTTGGCTTCTCAAATCAGGAACATTTTTATTAGCTTCCCCAAGAGTTTCATGGCACAAAGCCATACCTAATGATTCTATTTTATGAAAGTTATACATTCAAACCGTGCTTTGAAGCCAGGGAGCAGGTAAGACTCAAATCTTTGTCGGAAAGATTCCCTTGTTCTTTCACTTTTAAAAATGCCTGTGAGCTTTCACACAGTTGGGAAAGGGATGTGGTGCGTGGAACAGGTTTCTCTCCCCTTGCTGGGACCCAGCACTGGCAGACCCGGCGTGATCTGCAGTGACGGCCGTGGTTCTCCATGGGGGCTGATTTGGCCCCTCCGCCCCCTCCGCCTAGAGACATCTAGCAGTGTCCAGAGACATTCCTGGTCGTCACCACTGGGAAACGAGGGGCAGGTGCTATTGGCATCCACTAGGTAGAGGCCAGGGATGCTGCTAAACATCACACGATGCAGGACAGCTGCACAGAGAAGAGTCATCTGATTGTCTGGCCCCAAATGTCAGCAGTGCCGAGGTCCAGAAACCCTGCCTTGGGGCTTTGCTGGACCAGGCATCACATCCTGCCCACCCCAGGGACATCAGACACTAATCTAATCACCGCGGCAGGTTTATGAGATTCGTGTTCTTTTTTTCTTGGTGCACGTTTAAAATGAACAAGAAGAAAACATGATCATCAACAAATTGAGGAAAGTAAAAATAAGAGTGCCGCAGAGTCTCAGAACACATGACAACATTCGCTGTTAATTAAACCCTCCTAATGTTCCGCTGTACTTTCTAAGCTCCACCCAAATCAGATTTTATCTACTGAAACAGCAAAATAACCAGTTCCGATTATCAGGACTACTGGACACCAGCACAGATGTCTGCTGAAAAGCAAGGAAAGTTCTCTGCTAAACTGGGTGATGTGGTCAGTGACGGCACTGGGCTGGGAGGAGGTCTGGTCCCGATTATTTGCCACGTCCAAGGACTAGGACTCTGTCGCTTCACTTCTTGGAGCTTAGGTTATCCTGATCAGCACGGTGGAGATAAAGCTACTTGCCCCGCCAGCCTGCCGGGGACTCGTGAGAGCTAAATGAGTTCATGTGCAGGGAACTGTTTTGTAAACTGTAAAGAGCTACGAGTGCATGACAACATGTTTAAGACATTCACATACGCATGGCAATGTATGACAACCACCAGAGTCTTTCACAGACTCTGGATCCTTTCCATGAAATGTCTCCACCAGAGGTGACTACCGCAATCAACGAATCCAACCCCTTCATTTTACAGAAAGGAGAAGTGACTATCATGGAGGTCAAGTGACCCGGCCACAGCGGACGCCAGGAAAGCACCCAGATGGGCGCAAGTCTAGGAGGGAAGAAGCACATCGGACGCACAAGGGTCACAGGGCTTGGACACAGGAGAAAAATACCAGTCGAATCAGCAAAACGTACAATCTAACATCTTGACTTACTACATCGTAGCCTGTCGGGGCTCGGTTCCGAGAAGCCACCACCCCGACGCCTGTGATGGGGTCCATCGACGTTTCTGGCAAGGCTTCCGAAAGGTCTTTGACTTCAGGCATGGTGGACTGGTCCTGGTTCAGAAAATGAAAAAGAAAGCACAAAATTCAAACTTGGCCTTTAAAGCCAACAATACAAAGTCCCAGACAGATATTACTAGAACCAGAATCTTAGGGCAACTATCCTGAGCTGAGCTCCATGTGCTGGACTGGCTGAAGGGGCCCTGGCCTGACCTGACCCTTTCCTCGGATCGAGGATTCAAATCACCTCCAGCCTTGCTCTCCTCAAGTTAGCTTTGAGCACTGAGCTAACATAGTTAATGAGGGCCTTTCCCTGCTCTCAGGAGGTAATTTTGACTCAAACCCAAAAGCAAATTACTTTCAACACCACCGTCCAGCTGCCTGATTTCTGAACAGATACCAGTAACTCCCCTGAGGATAAATCAGATGTGGCGAAGTCCAACACCTTTCATTTCGCTCCCTCACGGCCTCTCCGTGTGGAGGTGCGGACTTCCAAATCCAGCCTCTCCCACGACCAAGGTTAGACTTGCAGCAGGCAGAGCTTTGCAAATCAGCAAGGAACTTTGCAAACACACAGAAGAGAGAGTTCTGGGCACGGGGCAAAGGAAGGGTGCTCGAGTCCTGGCTCTATAACTGACTGGCTGGTGATGTGGGGCAAGCAATTTCACATCTTGGAGACTTTATTTTCTCAACTATAGGACAAGGTCATGATACTGAAACCTGCAGAGCTGCTGCGAGAACCAAGAGAGTCGATGTAAACGCAGGGCCTGGAAGAGATCCCTGGTACACAGTAGGCACTCAGAAAAAGCAGATGAGACTGGCAGGGTTTGGGGCACACGGGTCCAGTGTAACTGGCCAGAACCACGGTAGGTGTTGCTCCCTAGAGGATTGGTAGATCCCTTTGTTGTGCTTCACCCCCAGGTCATGTGGGCACTGACCCAGAGCCAAACACAATGACCGTAATTCTTGCTGGGTACTTGGGGAGAAAGGGAGGGAAATTGAATTATTATTCTGCTGCTGATTGTGCCTTGATGTGACCGGAGGAGACAGGTGGAATACAGAGAGCTCTGGGTCCAGGCAGCCGGAATGGCAGTGCACCTGAAAGCAAATAAAAGAGGCAACACCTTATGTAAATGGATCTAAGTACTCTGAAAAGGACAAGCAGTGAAAAAGAGCAAGTCAAATTCCACCTCCTTCTGCAGCAATTAAATTCCACTGGCTGTAGCTCTGCCAGACCCCTCAAGGCTGGTTACTGCTTCTAAAGCAAACCAAACACCCTGACTCGTAGGCAGGCAGGGGAGGAATAGTCTTGCTTCTCAGCCTAGAATCGGAAAAGGCAGAGGCCATTCAAAATGCCTGCAGTCTCCTAAACAGGAACAATCAAAATGCTGTATGCAAGTTACCCATGAAGTCAGTGGAACCCACAAAAGGCTCCGGAAACAGACTCGTCAATGCCAAGGAGCCAAGTCCGCGATCAAGGCTAGGAAGCGCCCGGCACAGCTGCACACTCAGCTTCTGTTTATGACAAAAGCTAAACTAAGTTATGTTTTACTTAATTCTACTGAAAATAACCTTCTAGATGGCCAGGGCATTCAAATTTCATTTACCAGGCAGCTTTATCTACAAAAAGCACAGGGCTTAGTGCTTTCTGCACACAGTGGGCATTAAGTAAATATTTGCGTGAATACACATGCATGCCCTCACTAAAGATTTAAAATTAAATATCTGCACCTGCCTGATCCAAACCAGGCACTGATCAAAAAGTCTCTGCACTTCAAAAATCCTATATTATTGGTAACATGAAAATAACATTGCTGCAGTTTGCAAAATATTGGTACCTGCTGTTGGTTACCAAAAATGCTTTGCAATTAACAACTCATTAACAGAACGTACGGATCCTGTCAGTGCTAAAATATCACGCTGTGAATTTAATAAAGAACATGTGAGGTAAGTTGTTTTTTTTATAAAGATAGTACAGCCTCTACTACCAGAGAGAGAGAGAAAAGAAAGGGGGGAGAGAGAGAGGGTAAGCATAAATAAGCAATATCTTGTTTGCTGATAGATTCATTGTCATGTCCTCTGGTCACAACATCCTCCCTGAGGTACTGATGACAATGGCTCTCTGGCCCTGAAGCACACTCTCAACTGCAGGAGGGTAAACTCGTTCTCAAAGCAGCGCTGCTGCTCCCAGAGTGCACCGAGGCGGCGGCCCAGCAGAGGACTCCAAGATGGCTGCAGCAGCCCCCAGCAGAGGCAGACAAAGGAGCCAGGGCCTGTGTCTGTGCTGGTCACAGCCCAGCCTGCGGAGGGCTGAGCAGAGCGGTGGCAGAGAGCCCATTGTCCCCTCTCCTCCCCCCCATCAGCTGCTGTACCCTGGGGATCAAGGCAGCCTTTGTGAAATATAGACAAATGGCTCCTCACTGCACCAGGCTGCAGCCGGCTCGGGCAGAGGAAGCGCCACCACCAGCCAAGGAAGCTTTTAATGAGAAACACCCAAGATATCCATGGCAGAGGCCATCACTCAAAGCAGCTTGCCCTGAATTACATATTTTCTGACTGCAAATTACTTTTAACAGCGTCTCTACCGGCACTTCAATTGACCTTCCTAACAAAAGGCCATTTATTAACTAGCACTCCACGTTTCGCAGGCTGCACGGAGCTTCAAGCCAGGAGGGATGGCACCACTGCAGAATACTCAGCCACCCGGGGTCGCAGGCCAGGCCTCTGCCAGGGGGAAGAAGAGGCCATTAATGTAAGCCCGCAGAGAAATCCGACTGGGGAGGGGAGGGCAAGGGAGCGGGGTGCTGAGACGCTGAGACCAACATTAACCTGTCTGGACTAAAACATAAAATCCTGAGACTGACTCACAACAACTCTTGGTTTCATCTCAGCAGCCCTCCTCCAGCACCCGCCTCTATCTCAAAATCCTAGCTGCACACAAAACACACGAATACACCTCTGTTGCACTTGGGCAGCACTTTGCAATTCCCAAAAAACTTTCCCAGGCTCCTTTTCAGCTGGTGCTCATATCAAAGCTGGGAGGTGGCTAGCCCATGGTATCCCTATTTTACAGGAGAGAAAACTGAGATCCCAACTTCTCAAATGCCACGCAGCTGGCAGCAACGACCAATGGGACAGCCACTCTCCCTCCCCAGGTCTGGTCTTCCCATTGCACTGTGCAGAGGCACCAACATCCCATCCATCTGAGAAAGCTGTTTCAACACTAATTATATTTTAAAATGCTAAAGCTCTTCTTTCTCTAGCCACAGCTCAATAAGTCAAGCAAGGGGGGAAAAAGTAGAGAAAGATAAAAGTAACATGGGATTAATTTTCCTCACACCTCAGTTTCAAGATTCAACATTCCCCTCATAAATAATTTACAACAATAAAAATGAGCTAAGGCCATGTTTGTGTAGGATGGAGGTAAATTTAGGCCTAATGAGGGAGATCCGAGCACCGCACAGGAGGGAATAGGTTGATCTATGGCATGGTGCGAGCAGGATCGACCGCTCACAGGGGCTCCATTACCAACTGGAAGTCTCAGGGCCCACGGGGCTGGGGGCAGGAATGCGCAAAGTGGGGAAACCTGTGCCACCCCAGCTGCAGCTGCAAGGAGGGTCTCGACAGGGAATGCCAGAAGTCGACCCAGTGGTTTGGATGATAAGACAAGACAAGGGATGTTGAAATTTTTCAAAACTATAGGATCGAGCGAATCCAAGTCAGCTCTCAGCAAATGCCAGGTAAGGAAGGAAGGTGGTGGGGCGCCAGGGAGTCACATCTGATCTTGACCTGGTCCCTCTGAGTTAACCTCACAGGTCATCTGGTCCCAGTCCCCATTCCGACCTCTCCTCAAGGGGGCATACAGCCTCTGCTAGGTCATTTCCAAAGCTGGGTATCACAGAGCCTCGCTCCAAGCAGCCGTTCCTATGTCTGTGCCTGAGACGGTTCCTCTGCAAGGCAGGAGAGTAAGTGTATGTATGTGTGTGTGCATGCATGTGTGTGCACTCACATGTGTGCAGGCTGGGCAAAGTGGGGAGGGTTAGGGTGAGGTGTTTTCCAAGCCAGGAGGGTTTCTTCCACCAAGCCATGCCCAAGGAACACCGTTCAACAAAGCTGGGAGGAAGCCTGCTTTCTGCTTCTGCCTGCAACGCTGCAAAGAGCACTGGGGGACCAGCCCCCAGCACCTCACCAGTGCTGTCATCCAGGTTCACAGAGAAATGAACTTTAACTATAAAGCCCCTTCATACAGACGGCACACTGCTCCCTTGTAGCTGATCAAAGAATTGCTACAACAGTGTGCTTAATCCCTAAAAGTCAGCAGTGCTGGGCTTAACTGATGCTGAACATTGTTTCAGAATCAAAGGCTGCCTCCCGGCCCCAGTCTGGGAGAAAACTGAGCTACTGTATCACAGTTGAAAACTCAGGGGAACTTTGATATCATCTCTGTTTAATTTCCACGGCCCTAGTGAGCCTGGGGTTTATCTCGTTTTATCAACTCCTGTACTGAAATCAAAACCCAACTAACAAAGCTCAGCCCTCTCTCCACTGAGGCCCTTCCCGCAGCGGGGTGTGGGCCGAGGAGTTTAAAGTGCTTTCAGGGACCAACAACTGCAGGGGGCGGGGGGGTACTGCCTTCAAAGGAGGCCCCGAGGGCAGCAGCGCTGTGCCCCAGCCTCCCTGCCATCTCTGCTCCTGCTGTGGCCAGGAAGGCTGGCTCAGAAGCCGTGCCAGCGCTGCTGGTCAGGGCTGAAGGCATGACTCGTGCACAACTTTTGAGGAGAGCAATTTCAAAGTATTAAGGGGAGGGGCAGGTGAAATTGGGCTACTATAATTGAAATGACAAAACTAGTGGGTTAATTAAATCCCCATAGAAGGACGAACTTGTGATCAGCTTGCTTGAAGTCCAAAGTCAAGGGCACCAAAGACATAAACTGTCTGCCCACATCTATCAGCTTGCGGGGCTGGGGAAGGGAACGGGATAAACATTTCACTCGCCATGGGAAACGGCACAAGAGCAGGTGGTCTCTGGAAAGGGGTTGTCCTCCCTCCCCCGTCAAAGCTGCTGCTGCTATGGCTGTCATGGGGAGGTTCTTTGCCTGTTTCCCAGTGGCAGTGATGGTTTTCGGGAATCCATGCTCACCTCTGGTGCCCCATGATGACTGGCACCTTTCTGCTGACAACTGCAAGCAAGAGACAGAAGGACACTGCCCCGTCCCCAAGGGAGGAGCCCGTGGCCAGGTTTCACCAATGCACCCCACAACACACACGAACAAGCAAACCTGGCCACCTCCTTGTAGCAAAGGTGCAGAGACCTACCTCCTCAGAAGGCTGCAAGCTGAGACCAATGTCCATGCTGTACCCAGCTAAATGGCCAGCCAGCTCTTAGGCCACCCACGGGAGATAGTGCACAGACTACGAGGTTGTCACTGTGGAACCTCTGGATAGTATCCTAGCATTTCCTAAACTTTGGTCTGAACAGATTACCTGGTGACTGGTCAGAAGTCAAATCAATTCTAACAAATGCTGTTGGGTATGGTCAGGTGGCAACAGGTCACAGGTTGCTGGGAGGGCTGCGATGATATTGGGGAACTAAAGCAAATATTTTTTTAAGCTCTCGCAGATCACAAAGAATTTTCTAGCTTGGGAACTAACAATTGTGAGCATTTCCTTTTCCCCCCAGTAAAGGTCTGTTTCTCCTAATAGAAGAATCCGGTGTATAAATGTGTCAATTCCATCTGACCTATGCTCAGATTTACATTAACCATTTTATTACTAAACACAGATTTTTCCATTAACCATGTGAGGCAGGCCAGGGTTCAGGCTGCTGCAACCCCTATGGTGCAATGCTAGATTCCAGAATTCACTCTCTAAAAATAAATCCAGGATCAAGTTCTACAGCACTGCCCTGGCCAAAGCCCTGCCCTGTACAGGCCTGACTCTGCACAAACTGAGGAACATCATTCAAGGCTGGGGCATTCTCCAGTACACGTGTGAGCACCATGATTACTGCAAACAAGGGTCATTCCTGCCCACTCCCATTAAGTATTGCCGATGAGGCCATAGGAAAAAGGAGGACCCCAACAGAAGGCAGATGCCTACAAATTCAACCATCCCAGGAGGACCCAAGAGCAATGATCTCCTGAGTGTTCAGCGATACGAGTCACACCCTTGCCCTGATGGCCACAGCACCTGCAGAGAAAAAAATGCCATTATGTGATCTCAGTGCCAGGCAAATGGGTACCCAGGCCAGAATCAACAGAACACCTGGCTTCAGGTCAGCCAGGCCACCACACCTGTCCCTGACTTTCAAATTGGTCTTCAGAGTTTCTTTTCATGCATTTGGTTGTCTAATCATTCTACCTGTACGCTGATGACTTCCAAAATACCTCCAAGCCTGGACTTCTCTCCTGAGACTCAGGGGGGTCTATCTGGTGTCCTGCTGGCTGTGTTCACCACATGTCCCATGGACACCTCAAACCTGGCTGGCCTTACTATCCTCCCCTGAAGCATCCTCCCACCCTCCCAGTCCCTAACAGTGTCTGGTGAGTAGCAGTCCACAATCGTGCCTTTGGCTAAGCGGAGCGCCTTTGGCTAAGCACTAAGGGTATAGCAACGAGGAGACAGAAAGTCCACATTTTAGAGCAGGAGTTATCCACCTTTAGCACATGTAAGAATCACCAGGAGAGGTTGTTAAAACACAGATTCCTGAACATCACCCCCTGAGATACTGATTCAATAGGACTGAGAAGCTGAAATGGCTAGTCCACAGTCCAAACTGAGTACAAGAGAGTAGGTACTCACTAGGTGTTTGATGAATGAATGAATGGAATGAAACTAAAGGAAACCTTCCCTGGAGAAGAGCCTCAGAAAGAGCCCCCCCAGCCTCTCTTTCCCTCCCTCCTCCTCACAGGTCAGCCAAGAACACCTAGTTCCCCCCCTACAAACCCCTACTCCACCACTAAAATCTGGCTCACATCTGCCATTCCTCTCAAACCTTGTCCAACTGCCCGGCCAGACAGGTAATGTCACTCAGAATCCTGACATCACTTCAGCACACGGTCGTGGCACACACAGGTACACACGTGCACTCATGCACATGCACACACACACACACACACACACACACACACACACAGCCTTGCCTCTCAGAAGGCTAGAAGACACTTTGCCTAGCAGAATACAAGTTGTGCAAAGGTATGTCATGTCCACCACAATGCCTAGCTCACACTGGGTACTCGATAAATGGATTATGAATGGTTGGAAGAGGATAAACAAATGAAATTCCTATCCTCTCAAAATTTCAAGTTTCCTTGGATTAAGCAGGGTGCTTAAAGGGGCAGGGGCAATAGTGAGAGTAGACCAGTCAGGCCCCTTCCAGTGAGAGCCCCATGCTGGGGTTGCCAATGGCCCCAGGCAGGACACACCCCAGGAGTGAGCCACCTGCAGAGGAGGGGAGGAGGGGCTGCAGCACTTCTGGGTAGTTCCAGAAGTGGATCTAACTCAGAGCAAGCAGGCTGCAATGAGGGCCTGGCAGGAGCCAGTGGGTGTGCAGGCTGGCTGCAAGAAGAATGCCCTGGGGAGCTTGTGAAACTACAGCTTCCCCTCTGCCGTCCTCGGGCTCTGGTTTAATTGGCCTAGGCTGGGGCTCACACTGGATGTGCACAGCCAGCGAGAAGCTCCATGGTGCTGGGTGATACAGCAACACATAAGACATGGAACTAGAGGCTGTGGGACAGATCCCAAAAGAAATGGACTGCAAATGAGGGGACACTTCCTTCTGCCTGGAGGGGCGGGGAGAGGTGATTGAGGAGCTGGACTCTCTGAAAGAGGGTGCGGCTTGGTGAAAGTCCTGCAGGCAGAAGACACAGCACCCACAAAGGCACAGTGGTGTGAACACAGATTATGGGAGGGGGGACTTCAGAGCACATGGGCTCTGAAACAAGCTTATGCAATGCTTAAACAAACAAACTGAACCAAAAAACTTGTCTTTACTTTTCTACTTCTAAGGTCTAAGCAATGATGTAGATCTATGGGAAGGCGCAGCCCAGTGGTTTGAAGGAAGAGATTCCCAGGTTTTCCGTTCATATTTCCTCTCCTGCAGCTGAACATTTCTCCAACCAACGCCCCTTCCTTCAGACTCCATGGGGCTCCTTACGCTATTAGCTCAGTGTGGGGAATGGCAGGCAAAGCAGAGGAACGGAAAGGGTGCAGCTTTGGAGTCATAAGGACCTGAACTCTAATACCATCTCTGCCACTTACTTACAGCTGTGTAACCCCAGGCAAGTTACTGAACAGGGCCTGAGTTCCCGCCCCCATAAAATTAGAATAGTAGATAATACTTTATAGAGTTACAGTGTGTAAAAAGCATATAGAATTTGCATCAAAAAACAATCAACGGAGAGAAAAGGCAACCTATGGAATGGGAGAAACTGTGCAAATCATGTATCTGATGAAGGGTTAGTATTTGAATCTACAAAGAACTCCTATAACTCAACAAAAAAAAAATTTCTTGATTAAAAAATGGGACAAAGGACTTGAATTAACATTTTCCCAAAGATGATATACAAATGTCCAGCAAGCACATGAAAGGATGTTCAACATCACTAGTCATTAGGGAAATTCAAATCAAAACCACAATGTATCACCTTACACTAATTAGGATGGCTGCCACCAAAAAAAAACCAAACCCAAAAAACAAAACAGAAAATAACAAATGCTGGTGAGCATGTAGAGAAATTGGAAACTTGGTACACTGCAGGTAAAATGGGACAGCCACCATTTTATGGAAAACAGTGTGGCAGTTCCTCAAAAAATTAAAACTAGAATTACCATATAATCCAGCAATTCCACTTCAAGGTATATACCCAAAAGAATTGAAATCAGGGTATCAAAGAGGTATTTGTACACCCATGTTCAGAGAAGCATTACTCCCAAAAGCCAAAGATAGAAGCAGCCCAGCGTCCACCTACGGATGAACAGATAAACAAAATATGGTATATGTATTCAATGGAATATTATTCAGCCTTAAAAAGGAAGGAAATTCTGACACATGCTACAAAATGATGCACCTTGAAGATATTATACTAAATGAAATAAGCCATTCACAAAAAGACAAGTACTGTTTGATTCCACTTCTATGAGGTACCTAGTGCAGTCGAATTCACAGAAACACGAAGTGTGACGGTGGTTGCCGGGGCTGAGGGGAGGAGGAAATGGCAAGTTGTATAATGAATATAGAGTTTCAGTTTTACAAGATGAAAAAGTTCTGGAATTTAATGGTACAATAGTGTGAATGTACCTAATGCCACTGATCTATGCACTTAAAAATGGCTAAGATGGTAAATTTTCTGTTGTGTGTATTTAATAATTTTTTAGAAAGCATCTAGAACTGTAGTTCTCAAATTGCAGTAAGCATAAGCACAACCCACGGCGTTGGTTAAACGTGCAGATTCCAGGGCTCCTTCCCCAGAAATTGTGATTCAATGAAGTCTGGGTACGAGACCCTGGAATCAGCATGTTCACAATGCAGGCACATTTAGTTCACTCAGAACTCACTTACTTCTCTCTTAAGGATCAAAGGATATTTTTTTGAACTTTTAGTTCCGCTAATCAGTCTCTTTTTACAAAGAGTTTGTGTTTATATGTGTGTGAAGAGAAAGAAGGAAAGAAGGAAGGAAGGAAGGAAGGAAAGAAAGAAAGGAAAGAAAAGAAAAGGAAAGGAAAGAAAGAATGAACTCGTGTTGATTCTAGCCACAGGTCCAACGAGATGGCTCTCCAGTCTGCAGGGAATTATGAGCTACAAAGCTCCTGTGTGCAACCCCTGGGCTCCAGGCCCACAGGGCTCTCACATTTCTGCCTAGACAAGCTCCGCATCTGACCAGAATCATGTCAAGTAAACCAAACGCGTGCCCACAGGATGTCCCCAACAAGGGAGGTAATGTCAAGCACACCCTGCCGTGGTGCTACCTCCCAGGCAGCTGGAGAGGGGAGATCTGACTCAGGCAAGCCCACAGCAAACTGTGCAGACGGTGCAGGGAAACCACAATTCCCAAGGGCAGCCCAGCAAGCAGAAGGCCAAGGACAGCCAGTGGGGCCAGTGAAACGCTGTCCAGGGAAGGCCTCGGAGAGAACGAGAATGGCCTGGGGCGAGGCAGCTCATTCAAGGAACCCAGGGCTCCCCTCCACAACCCAACCAGTAAAGTAGGCTCTGCTCGCTCAACCGCAGCCAACTAAATACAGTGTTCTCAGCCCAACCACATCCAGCCATGTAGTCATTTGTTATCTTCATCATCATAATAGCACCTTTGACATTTCCCATGCTTGCTTCCAATACCATCATTACTTTGCAGTGTGGCAAGGATGTCACTCTTTGAGCGTGGAGCATTCCCAACAAGCTAAGGCAGAGGGGCCTAGGCCATTTGGATTCTGATTCACCCAGCAGCCCATCTGCCATGAAACTGATAGAGATTAAGCTTTGGGCCCCTCCCTTACTCCTTCAGAGGCCCTGAGA